TGTGAGCCGTTGGAGGGGATTTCAAATGAAAACCGCCGCGTGGGAATTTTTAAAAAAAGATGTGTACCCGAATTACCTTGTGCATTCGTTGCGTCTATAACATGTAAAACACACTTCTAAGGGGATAATGGGGTTCAGGTTTACTTATTATCTTTTTATTTCAACAAATTCGTGCCACCTAATGTTTTGAATCGCTTCCTTCAAGTTTTGGCTGTCTGTAATACTGTTAGGAATAGAAACTGTCGCAGTACTCCCTGATTTGCTTTTTCACAGTTATCTGCAGAAAAATTCGCTGAGAGAGCTTCCACATAGTATCTTCAAGGGTCTCTTCAACCTCCGAAACGTGTAAGTTTTGTGACCCGTTTATTTTTCTCTCGGTGCGACGTGTAGTCCGTTGTTACTTTATCACCCCCATATCAGCTTTGAAATCTGCGCAAACAGAGGAAATTCTGTATACAACAACATTCCTAAAAATTTTAAAATTTTACATTGCTTAGTAACAGCCAAGTATGCTCAGCACAAGCATTAAGAGTCAGAGAACAGAGTGTGCACCGTATTAAAATGAAATACCTCTAAACAAGAGAGCATGGAATAGAGAGCAGGGAAACGCACAGTCTAGCCCTAGCGATGTGAATTTCACCAAAGTTATTTTTAGATCAATTAAACGATTGAAATTCATCAAAAGTTGGTTTCTGGAGAGGTCCACAAACATTTATAAAGTGTTTTCAAGAAAGAACGTTGGGACATTATTCTCTCTTGGTGTGTCTCCGTTACAATGATTATTCTGCATTGTTTGCTTTGAGGTAGTCGCGAGTGGACTTGATGACGTTTCAAACAGTCAATTTAAATGTGTGAACGTCCCAGGAACTAGAATTCCGTTGAATTTCAACTTTTAAATAGAACTTAAGTGAAATTCACGTATCCCGGTCAAGGCCCTAAGATTCTCTGTACGACCCATTAGTCTCTCTTGCTCCAAACTACTTCATGAAACTCTAATGAAATTATTTATTTAAAAAATACAGAAAAATGGACACCTTCTCTTTATGTTGCTACGTCCATGTTAGCCTTAAAGAAGTAGCATGTCAATTTCCTAAAGAAGCAAAAGATGCCTTCTCTGGCTGCAATCGCATGATTCATCACCAGAGCCTCAGAATCAGCATATGGCTGCTCGGTCTTCTTGCGGATCTTGGTAATCTGGCGGTTATCGCCTGGCGAATGATTCGGCGGGAAGACCACCCAATTCAAAGTTGCCTTCTGACAAATCTTGCATTGTCTGACTTCCTCATGGGAGTTTATCTTATGATTATTTCCATTCAACTCCTTTCGAAATGTAATTTTAAAAACCAACGAGGTACAAGCACAAGAAATCTAAGGATCTAGCTGTCTAGAAATCCCTCAGAACATCATATCTACTTTCCATGACCAGGTTTTCTTTCCAGGTTTCTTTCGCTCTTTATCTCCTAAGCCACTCAAATTTGATTTACAGACTGTCCGGAAGTATGCAACTGCTCCATAAGTAACACAGCTCCATTTTGGAAAATGGTTGACTGCAGTAGCAGGGGATTGACAGAAATTCCACGAGACTTACCATGGGACGCTGAATATTTGTAAGGGCAAGATATTATTGAAGCTCTTTCCCGAAATCATAAAAATATGAGATTGCTAATTTTCATCTCAAAAGCATTTTTTGACGTTTTGTTGTTTTTTAAGGTAATATTACATATAATGAATATTTTTCCTCAAGAACAACCTTGTGTTTAGTTGAGATGTACAGTAAACACCCGCATCTAAGCACCTGCGGAAACCCTAACAGAAATTTGCCACTTTAATACCCCAAAATACAAGAATCTGTTTAGCCAAACAAGATCAAGCAGATTCTTATGTGGGTTGCAGTTAGATTATGATGAACACTGATTGAACCAAGGAGTGTAACTTTGAAGAAAGTCATAGAAACATAGTCTTTACGTGAATCAATGTTCCGTCTTTTTAGTTCCTTTCCAAAAACTGAACAGAAATAAAAGTTAATTAATCCGAACAACAAGATTAAGTTTATATAAAGTACAGACTGCTGTAATGATCGTCTTCATGGAACTTGGATACAAAAGGTATATTTTTAAAGGACCAAAGAACCCACGTTTATTTATTTTTGTGGTAATCAATAATCGGTTTTCCCCTATATAGAAATTAAGAACCTAATTAAGAACCTACTAATAAATATCCCAAAATACAAGAACCAATTTTATTGCGAGTCTTCCCAAACCGAACTTACGAAAACGATAGAGAGCTCCGCAGGGTGGTGCACTGGTTTGCTGAAGAGATGACCTAAGCAAGAATCTCAACAGTTTGGGATAAATGGTCACAAGCGTGACGTTTTTAATTGAAACCAATGATAAAAATAACTAATTAACATCTCTTCAGGAAAGGTGGGGACAAAAATCCGCCACAAATTAGCAAATACTTACCACAAACTAAAAAAGATAAAACTATAAGAGGATGTAGACAGTGGCAGGTCGGAGACTGGGGAGGTAGTGGGAAAAATTTTCCACTAAGCTTCAAAGGGATGTCAGTACATGTTGATGGCAATGGCTGGAAGGGCCGCATAAAACATATAACAAGTCTTTTATACAGAACTAAACACGTTCGATCTCCTAATTGGCCAGGGAACCACCGCCTGCACACTGTTGATAAGAAACGAGAAATCCCTAGAAATAAAATGACATTATGATTCCATCTTCTCGTCATAATGTTTGTTTTTCCAGGCTTTAAAAAAGTAGGTTCTTATATGCGGGAGTTTACTGTATATTTACTTTAACTTTAAACTTAGGAATGCTTGACTAATCACGCACCTGGTGACCTAATATCTGATTTAACCTACTGAGGAACTAATATTTGGGCTACAAAAACCCTATCAAACCATTTTAGCCCTTTCTAGCCCTGTCATTTCTAAGAGCCGTTTATCAGAGCCTATCATTCTACGTTTTGCAGAAATCTCTCCAACAATCAACTAGAAGGAAAAATCAGACCGCGTTCTTTTCATAGGCTTGGCAGTCTTGTCAGTCTGTAAGTATGCAATAATCGGTTTCTATTCATTTCTTCTGAACAAGTCAGAATGAGCAAGTCATTTGCGAAACGACCACCCGTTTCGGTGTGAAATCGGTCTACCGGTGGACTGGAACGGGTAGTGTATATATGTGTAATGTCTGCGATTTTGAATCGCATGTGTATTTTATCAACGTGAAGTGTACCCTCAAATAACCGAGATATGAAATGACCCACCATCATGTAAACGCGTTACGAAATCAAAAAGTCATCACGGTATGAAACTCGCGCCGATGCAAGTTTTCTCATGTAAACACCCCCTAAAGTTCCTCCGTGCATGAGGAACATAAGTGCGTAACATTAACCTTTCCCGGCTGTCTGTATATCGTTCACTGTATTTCTATCTCTAGGTCGCATTATCAGGACCCACAGGGGAATGTTACCAACGAGGGCGCAAAAACAATGCCGTAAGCGTGAGCACACTGTGGGTGTCCCGCATGCCATCCCGGAAATTTTGTTATTTGGGGATTCTAAAGTGGTTAGAAATCCATCTAAATTTATTATCGTCTTTATTCAAATGCAAATTATGAAATAACTACATGGCAAAAACGTTTTAAAATCTGCATTTGATGATCCATCAATCGTTATTATCGACCAATAACATCGCGACGCAATTGACCAATCAAGTCCATAACCAGAGTATAATATCATCAACTGACGTGATTAACTGACTTGATACAACTCACTTTGACTCTGGAGATGACTATTGCGCAGCAGGTTGTCGGAACGTCGGTCACTGTCAACAACAACAGACCTATTCAGGACTACGTTCACCTGGACGATCAAACTCGACCTACTTTTGAAACTCTTTACAGTTTGAAATCCTCACTAAATGTCCTTCATTATTTCTAGCGACTGACACGAAGCTTCCAATTTGGGATCTCAGGGAAATTTGTCGGTCCCTTTTACTTGCAATAAAAGATGTTCTATTACGTGTCTCCTTTAAATGTAAGATTTTTCTATTCTGCCCAGTTTTTGGAAAGGAACTGCGCGGTCCTGATTATTCATGTGTTGTTAAGTTGAAGGGTATGAATCGCTGAATAACACGTAGCAGTAAGGTAGTTTTAATATTTAAAGATATTTTTAACTCTGTTTATCCTTTTTGATGCTCCGTTATGCCCAGGTCAGTGCTCTGTGTTAAGCATGCAGTACATACGTGTAAGAGCTCTGCGTACTTTGCAATACTTAAAAAACATGTTACCATACAAATGTATTTTCAGTGATTTGTCCAACAACCGTCTTGTGGGATTGCCTTGGTTCATTTTCAACGACCTGACGAATCTGACTACTATGTAAGTTAACCATTAGTTCGGGAATAAGTACAAGGATTTTTCTAAAATTATCTTAGACGCCTTAAGTATACTTTGGTTACCTTTAACGACTAAATTTAATGGCCAAGTCAATTCTAGAATACCTGTGGTTCTTCCATGGTTAGCAGAGAACTGTAAAATACCTGTTTTATGGCTAAAATACTTTCCACTGAAAGAAAGCCTTCAATACTATAGCAAATTAACGTTAAATTGATAAATGGTAAGATAAAAATTGAATTCTGTCTTACGCTTTTAAGAAAAGTTGATTGAGTAGTAACAATGGACTTTCATGAGAGTTCGTTCGGTGCAGTTAGAGTTGCTAGCCGATAAAAAAAAGTCGGGAAGATACGAGGAGTGTAGAAAAACGAGTGAAGGCCATAAAAAAACATTTCAAATTTGTTTCCTAAGTTTATTATTGTCGTTTAAAGGAGAGTAATGATCATAATACTACTTTTTACAGTTTCCCTTGAGAATGAACAACAACTACCTCAAGTAGTCCTCTTAAAATACCAAAGGTTTTCTCAAACTTTATCCAACGTCGCCATTACCTCTACTATAAAGTAACAACCTACTGCTATAACAGCCAGCCCAGATCTACCCTGCGTCGAGAAGTAATTTAACTCAAGTTAGTGGCCAACGGTTTAGTTTCGTCTGTGGCGAAGGCTACCCACACTGTATGTGAGCCTTCAGTACAATCCCGAAATGAACATATGTGAGCCGTTGGAGGGGATTTCAAATGAAAACCGCCGCGTGGGAATTTTTAAAAAAAGATGTGTACCCGAATTACCTTGTGCATTCGTTGCGTCTATAACATGTAAAACACACTTCTAAGGGGATAATGGGGTTCAGGTTTACTTATTATCTTTTTATTTCAACAAATTCGTGCCACCTAATGTTTTGAATCGCTTCCTTCAAGTTTTGGCTGTCTGTAATACTGTTAGGAATAGAAACTGTCGCAGTACTCCCTGATTTGCTTTTTCACAGTTATCTGCAGAAAAATTCGCTGAGAGAGCTTCCACATAGTATCTTCAAGGGTCTCTTCAACCTCCGAAACGTGTAAGTTTTGTGACCCGTTTATTTTTCTCTCGGTGCGACGTGTAGTCCGTTGTTACTTTATCACCCCCATATCAGCTTTGAAATCTGCGCAAACAGAGGAAATTCTGTATACAACAACATTCCTAAAAATTTTAAAATTTTACATTGCTTAGTAACAGCCAAGTATGCTCAGCACAAGCATTAAGAGTCAGAGAACAGAGTGTGCACCGTATTAAAATGAAATACCTCTAAACAAGAGAGCATGGAATAGAGAGCAGGGAAACGCACAGTCTAGCCCTAGCGATGTGAATTTCACCAAAGTTATTTTTAGATCAATTAAACGATTGAAATTCATCAAAAGTTGGTTTCTGGAGAGGTCCACAAACATTTATAAAGTGTTTTCAAGAAAGAACGTTGGGACATTATTCTCTCTTGGTGTGTCTCCGTTACAATGATTATTCTGCATTGTTTGCTTTGAGGTAGTCGCGAGTGGACTTGATGACGTTTCAAACAGTCAATTTAAATGTGTGAACGTCCCAGGAACTAGAATTCCGTTGAATTTCAACTTTTAAATAGAACTTAAGTGAAATTCACGTATCCCGGTCAAGGCCCTAAGATTCCCTGTACGACCCATTAGTCTCTCTTGCTCCAAACTACTTCATGCAACTCTAATGAAATTATTTATTTAAAAAATACAGAAAAATGGACACCTTCTCTTTATGTTGCTACGTCAATGTTAGCCTTAAAGAAGTAGCATGTCAATTTCCTAAAGAAGCAAAAGATGCCTTCTCTGGCTGCAATCGCATGATTCATCACCAGAGCCTCAGAATCAGCATATGGTTGCTCGGCCTTCTTGCGGTGCTTGGTAATCTGGCGGTTATCGCCTGGCGAATGATTCGGCGGGAAGACCACCCAATTCAAAGTTGCCTTCTGACAAATCTTGCATTGTCTGACTTCCTCATGGGAGTTTATCTTATGATTATTTCCATTCAAGACCAAATACTTTCAGGTTAGTGTCTTTCCATTCCTTTATATGTATCTTTTCCCCGGGTTCAAATCCAGACGTCGACGCCATATGTGTGTTGAGTTTGTTGAAGGTCCTATCTTTTGCAGCGAAAGGTTTATCTCTGTGTACCCCGGTTTTCTACTCTCCTCAAAATCAAACATTACCAAATTCCAATTCGAGTATCATAGGGCGCACCGGTTAAGCATCTTTTTTGAAGTGGAATACATTAACACCGATAACGTCATAGCCTTTTGTCTTTCTCTCACGAATAAAATGCGCAGGAATATTTTTGGTGCTAGAAAGGGCTAGTTGGCCTCTGCCCTCATTAATTATGCACGATTTTGGTCGCCAAGAATCAGTGCATGCAAACCAAAACTTCAATTATATTGGAAAAATTTTTCTGCACATTTTGTGCATGAGATAAAGATAAAAGGTTATGATCGATGTTAATGTACTCCACTTCCAACTGATGAGATTTCACTCAAAAAAGAGGCCTAATCAGTGCGCCCTAAACTGCTAATTCGACCTGGAATCAGGTAGACGAAAAACCCTAAGCGGATGAGCTACCTATAAATCGTTATCATTTATTTATTTACTTATTTATATAATTATTTGTATACTTATGTATTTATGTATTTAATTTATTCAATACTCTTCTCCAAAATAAGAGCGAGCACAGTGTTAATTTTTAAATGATTTTAAAGCTAACAATACCGCGGTATTTTTATCACAGAATTTAAGTTGTTCATAAGCAAACTGTTGTTTCACTATAATGTGCTGAACGCAAAACTCCTTATAGACGAGTATTAACGAAGTGAAGAATACTGCGTTTTCCTAGGTAATTACTTCAGCTACGATCGAAAATGGCGATCAGGAGAGTTATGCAGATTTGCTGGTGCCTTGTCAGTGTTATCAAGTGAGGTATCTGTTTTGATGTTAACTGTTATCACCGCCGAGCGCCTGATCAGTATCGTCTTTGCACTAAAGATTTCTCGGCTGACCTTGCGAGGAGCCTACCGCATATGTTCTGCGGTTTGGATATTCGGAGTTGCTATCGCCATTGTGCCTAAGTTTGACTTTCCATACTTCTGCAATAAGGACAGAGAATATGGGTATTATGGTACGTAATATTTTCTCTATTAATACTAAGTTAACAACAGTACAAAGCGAATGCGCAGAAAGATGTCAATCAAAATCAAAATCATTTTATCATGAAACAAGAATAGTATTATTTCGAGAGCACTATTATCGTCATCATTATTATTATTTATTATTATTATTATTATTATTATTATTATTATTATTATTATTACTATTGTGTGATCCTCCTCAGTTGTTATTATTTCATGAAGGAAGACGAGGGGCTATTTCAAACTTTTCACTATAACTGCTCTATAACAGACTACTGGGGCTCCACTGAGGTAAGCAGGAGCATTGAATAAGACAAACTTCTCAATTCAACTCACTACCATGAAAATTAGTCACCTTATAATAGGAATGATTACTAAAACTAAACAAAATAACAATGTAGAGCCTGGTATTAACCATACCTTGCTCGACTTTGTCTGGCAAAGTGACAAAGTGTCCCTTCTTACATGCAGAGCTCTCGTACAACCGAAATCGTTTTGACAGACTAACAGATTGGCAGTGATAACGTATCATTGGGTAATCGGCTCCTGGTATCACTTAAGACGTGCGCAGTGTGATGAGGTCATCCGTCATGAGAAAAAATATGCACACTACAATATTTAGTAGCCTGGGCTGTTAAATCTAATTTTATTGTCGCTGTCAATCAAATCCCGTAACTATATATTCCTAAAAAAGTTTTTATTTAGGAGGGGCTCCTGCTTATTTCCACATGAGAGTGGGAGGGTGGAGCCAGGTGCTATTCTGAACCGGTGTAATTATCACTGGCAATGTTATTGTTATGGCTAAGACGTTTGGGTGGCTGAAATGTTAAGACGAACACTCTAGGACATTAACGGCACAGGAAAAAAAATCTGCCATTTTAAATTATGAGTCTGCACAGTCAAAGTGACGTCGGCAAGGGAATAATGTATACATGCCGGTTAATAAAGAGATGAGTTTCCTCTATACAAATTCAGGAAATAAAAAAGGGTAAACAGCCTTCTCTTGGAAACGTCAATCACTCATTCGCCCATGTAAGAGAATCCAACACAGTCTTGGATTCTGGATTCCACGCCATGGATTCTGGATTCCAGGAGCTGGATTTTAGTTGGATTTTAGTTGGATACCGGATTACTTGAGCTGTATTCCGGATTCCAAAGCCTCGGATTCCGGATTCCACAAGCAAAAATTTCACACATTCTGCTTTCCACGAACAACAATTTTCCGGAATCAGGTTTCCCTTACATATGGTGAACTCAAGACAAATAATTGACACAAAAAAGGTTCCGTGTAAGGAAAATTCATTTTATTGGTGATTTCTCATCGTTATTAATCCTTTGAATCTATACAAAGGTAAAGGCGCACACGAGCCAAAGGCCCAAACGGCCGGAACTTATCGCGGTTTCATTAGCATGAAGCACCTAAGAGTATTGCTACTCCTCCCTGGACGGGATGCTAGTCCATCGCAGGGTTACTCCCCAGCAGTATGTCGCCGCTACCCATTTATTCACCTGGGTGAAGAGAGATAAAGTGGAGTAAAGTTACTTGTCTAAAGGAACAACGCGAAGGGCACGGCTTGAACCCCGGACCTCCAAATCCGTTGAATCTATGGCTCTCCTAAAACAGTACGGGTATTCTTGTGCCACCATCGGTCCAAAACCTACATTGTAACCTTATTAGGATTAAGTAGAGCTGGGCTTTAATTTTTCCAACTGTCATTTAAATGTTTTAACGATTAAAAACCTTCCATTAAATCTCATCAAGTCTGGTGCACAGCAAGCATTTTAATCTCAATCTAATAACTTTTGTCCCATACAGGTCGTTCGTCGGTTTGTCTTCCTCTCCAACTGTCCTCAGAACGACTTGCAGGCTGGGAATATTCAGTTGCCATATTCATCATTCTGAATCTCGCAGCTTTCCTTTTCATCCTGGCAGCTTACATTTTCATTATACTCACGGTCTTTAAATCACAACGGAGAATCACCTCAAACGGAGAATCCAATACCAGCCTCAACAGAGAGTCGACGCTCGCACGGAGAGTGTTCGCCATCATCTTAACTGACTTCAGTTGCTGGGTCCCAGTAGTAATCCTGAGCATTCTTGCTCTCTTTGGTAAATTCAAAGATCCTGACGGGACGGTTTATGTGTGGTTTGCTGTTTTTGTTCTGCCAATCAACTCCTCTGTTAATCCAGTTCTATACACGTTTTCAACGCCGAAGGTACTTGTTAAACACCCACAAAGTTGAGTTTTAAAAAGTCTTGGGTCACGTTGACACTGTATTTACTTGGACGTAGGGAGGGCTGCCCAGTTAAGTGAGGTTCCCCGTGAATCCAACCTTTCAATTAAGACAACAACGCTGATTAACACGCTAGATAGGAAAACCCGCCAGCCAGCGGTACCATTCAAAGAGGTTATCTTTTTGTCATGTAAACGGTATTGTCATGCAGGGCTCTTTGATTCCGTGTAGTTCCCTACAAATCAGTGATACCTGTGGAACAGAAAGTTTGTGAATCTGGAGACGTCACTGTAGTGGGTCAATCGCAATAAAGTCAAAAGGCTCATGAACTAGTCTGACGTGAACGTATTTTTTCTGTCTGCCAACTTAACTTATATCCTAGCCACTCTGCTGGCCATGCCGCTTAGTAGAGTTACACTTCAGGGCGGTAACCGGGCTAGGCGAAGCACCGGGCATCCTACTACGGATGCCAGGTAACCAATCATTATTTAAGTACAATTAAACAATCATGCACAGGAATTTTGAAGCAGATAAAGAATATAAAACAAAATTATAGCTCAATTTTTCTTAAACTAGCTAGGTTGTGACTCATTACATCATCACCATGAAATCAGGGCTAGGTTGAATTTAGATATAAAAGCTTAAAACAAATTCAGTTATTCTTTTGTCCTCAATTTGATGAGTGGATGTTCTGAGAAGAATAGAGAAATTATCTGAAAAAATGCTTTTGAACCAATGGTAAGGAAATCCGGTTTAAAATTTACTCCCGGCTTAGAGCTAATCGGCCATTGAACAATTGAAGCTCTGATTACAAGAAATCATGGTTTAAGAACCTTGGTTACAGTAATTTGCACATATGTTGGTGTAAAACTTCTAAAAAATCTTCAGTTTTTAATTTTTTTTTTTTTGTTTTAGGTGAGAGATGTGTTGAAAGGCTGGGTTTGCCGTCTTCTTTGTTTTTTCAGTCAAATGGGAACATTCCAGTTTTTTGGTAAGGATAAATATTGCAGATGACAAGCTTATTCTCGATTACCATCTCTGGTTAAAAACAGTATATTCATCAAAATAATCAGGGTAAAGTTAAAGTTAATTTGGTAACATAAATTGCCCCTCTTCAGGGGCACCCGACGGCTTCTTTCTGTAAAATATCTGTTAGGACAAAGCGGATATTGCGTAGAATTTTTCTATTACTTGAGGACGGGTAAAAATTTCTTAATGACCGTGCCATTCATGTACAATTTTCGAAGCGTAGCTAATAAATACGCTACGATTTTCTTAAGTGTGTTTTTCATATTTCATTCCCCAGGTTAGGCTATTTTCGTAGAAAAAGGAAACCTAAAATTTTCGGATTCAAAAATGTGATGGAGAGAGGAATCAGAAAATTCTCACATTCGTAATACGTTAAATTGCATCCAAAATTTTCGAATAGTGAATACTGAAGCCCACTTCTTAAAAACTCCAGTTTACCTAGGATGACCGAATAGATACAAATTTTATAGGGCCACTTAGAGTGCATTTTTTCTAGAGCTATAAAAGTACTCTGGACAGCCTAAAAAGTTTTTCAATGTATTTAGGAGGAAACCGTCGCTGGGTGCCCCTGACTCTTGTTCCATTGCTGTTTTTGACTCCATCATCGTTAGCTCTTCTGATATCCTAAAGTAACTCATGTAAATAGAAGAATTGGTTAAAAAATGAAATATAAAATACAGAAAGTCGAACCCCTTTTAAAGGCCATATTTCGGTGACAGACACTCCTGTATGTTCCAGGTGCATAATGCATTCACTCTTGTTTTAACATCTCTATTAAGGCCACAAACATTTACCTCTGTACACAATGTAACTTGTTAATACAGGCGCCCCTAATAGCTTTTAAGGTTCCGTCGCCGGGGATATTAGGGAGCTTAAACAACAACGATAGCGACGGCTACGAAAGTGTGCTCGTTCTGCTTCAAACTTTATCATCCTTCCAACTCGTTAAATTTGTCAAATGTTGATGAATTTTTGTGGAGTAGAATCCTAAAGGACTGTATCAAAGTTCAGAATAGAAAAAGAGGGTCGTTGTCTTGTGTTCACCCCTCCACAAAACGTGAAATTATGCAGTTTCGTTTCGTAGCCGTGATCCAAGTGCTAACTGAAAGTTGTTTTTTTGATCAATTCCGTTTTTGCTTTTTGCCGTTCTCGTTGCTGTCGCCATCGTCGTTATTTAAGGTGGCTCGATAGGATTTTTCAGGGTCAGTACCTCCAAGTTTGAACATAAACTACGTGGACATTAACAAAGAATTGGAAAGGTTACCACCACAGCTGTATTAGGTAAAGATCATGGTTACCATGACATCGCAGTTGTCATATATGGCAACGAAATGACGCCATTACCTTTTGTTTATTTCTCAGCACTGGGAACTATTCTTTCAAAATCTTTCATGAGCTTTTTCCTCCAAAAGTGGCCTTGATGTTAGTGAAGTTGAAGCGAAATCTACAAGAGCGTTATCGAGATATTTTGGGGCAAAGTTTTTATGATTAGAACTAGAGTAATTACTAGACAATCTTGATTTTCGGCCATTATCTGTAGGAATTGAAGCACTTTTGAACTGCAATTTCACCTCATAGTATTTTCAATCCTTTTAGAAACGTGCTTGTAAGATCATGAAAAAAAGCTTTAGCCAATTGCTAGAAAAAAAAAATTATTTATTTTGTATGATTGTATGATTGAAAAACTGCTCAGTAGATTTTCTTTTGATTTGAGATTCTTGAGATTATTAACCTTCGTTTTAAATTGTCTCTGAGTTTCAAGATTATTGATATCTTCTAAGGCAGTAAAATAACGGCTACAATTCGCTAATATTTGGTCGGAAAAGGTGTGTTTGCATTTGAGAGCCTCTCATTATTCATAGGAAATTTCTCCAAGTTTCATATTTTCGTGGACAACAATTGCGAACATTTCTGCACATTTTAAATGCATTGTTAGTTACTACTGTTCACGAGAAAGATGATGCGGGAGAAGAATTGAGAGGAGAGTAAGGAGGTGATTGCATGGACCAGATAAGTCCTGGACAATAAAAGAGGCGTAAGTTGCTATCAAACTATTCTATCATGAAAATGACTCACTACTACTTTGTGTTAACTTTTGCAGTGTGTGTTAAAAGAAACGACAAAGAAGGAAGAGGGAGTAACAAAGAAAGAGAGTTGTCAGTTATAATGAAGGAGCTCCCTTCGTTCAACCGTGAGATACAACCCAAAAACAAAGTAGTCAGTGGAGTCACTAATGCAACCACAGAATAAAAACAATTTAGGCCATTTTCGGAGTTCCAAAAACCCTTACTTTCAAAACGAGGCAAAGTGCTCAACCTTTCATGTAAAAATGAGTTTTATTTGGATGAGAATGAAAAATCATTTCCATATCAAAGGCTGAGCACTTAACCTGGTTTTGATACAGAGGCCCGGTCGAACTCGGAAATGGCTTATTATATTGGCTGTTCCAAATGTCGGCTACTGCTGTTCTAAGCTGGCTCGATTTTAGCATGACTCTAGAGCAATTGTAGTAGGACTTGATTTCAGACGTCGAATTTCAGTCGAATAAAATACCCGTCGCGGAAAACAAAACTTAAAAGTGAACTTTTAAAATGTATTCTAATGTATTTTATAATTTACGAATTGAGTTTGGCACGGCAGAAGGGCGACGTTTGAAACCAGGTCGTGTTACCGCCGTTAGCGAGGCTAAACTTGTCATGCTACACGGCAGTGGCACACAACCATTTTTCAAAAGTCGTGCTATTGCCGTGCGCAAGTCGAATTTCATTCTATGAATTGAATTTGGCACTGCAGTAGCAGAGCGTTTGAAACTGGCCTAAAACTCATGCATGTTTGCAGGGTTAGCATCCGTCAGAAAGTCGATAAATTCACAAATTTTAGCAAAAAGGCCTGTTTACAACGTTGTCAATTTTTTGTTTTTAAATTTTAGGCACCTTCCTGCCATTATTCAACAACAACAACAATAAGCTTTATTTGCATGACCATAACAAAGTATTACAGTATTGCAAAAGCTACTTGAAATTAATCATTGATTCCTTGTTAATTAAATAGTTAGAATAATTTGAAACTTATTAATCATTGTTTATTTCTAACCGTCAGTAGGATTAATTATTCCGGAGATAAGTTCGTCTCTCAATTCAAATCAAGTTGATATAAATGAAATTAATTCGACGTTAATAAAGTAGTCAGTAGAATTCATGAGATGTGATAATAAGGACTCATGTGATTGTAGTCGTAGAAACGGTATTTTAGGTTCTAGTTTAGAGAAGAACGTATCTCTTATCGAAAAAAAAATTGGATAATCTAATAAAAAGTGAGTTTCATCTTCAATTCTGTTACAATTGCAGAGATTGCATAACCTTTCGTCACGTGGTATATTGTCGTATCTACCTGTCTCAATCCTAAGTTTGTGACTGCTTATTCTCAGTTTCACTAATGTTTTCCTAGAGGGGTTCTTTCTTGTTAGATCTAGGTAGACAGGAGGGCTATAATTCGTTTTGATTTTATAATAAAAGTTAAGTTTGTGTGAATGTTGAAGGGTATGATTCCAGTTAGTGATATATTCTTTTGCATCAGTAAATTACAATTAAAGCCTGGGAAATCATAGTAGTCAGTCATCTTCTTAAGACTGGAGTAAAAACTATTTTGACCACTATGATAAAGGTCAACAGATTTTTTTATTTTATTTTATTTTTTATTTTGAGAATATTTAACTTCAGGCTGAGACTAATTTAAATAGAGAGAGCATATAATATAACTCAAGAGCTTGTAGGCACAGGGCATACACACACTCATTACTGTTTCCTGGTTGACGAAATAGTTATATCTCCAAGCACCCTTAAAATTTCCTTAAGTTCTATGATATATCGAATACAGAGTTAATAGCGGGGCTCCCGCGCGCGCAAAGCGCGCGTGGGACAGAGCCCCATACTCATGGAATATGGTCAACCTCTTTTCGTTTGGTTGTCACGTGATTGACCGAGCGTACGTACGTACGTACATACGTACGTACGCGTCTACAGATTGTACGGGTGGGGTAGGGGAGACTATCAAAAGGAAGGGAGGGGTGTCTCAGGCGTGTCTTGGCAAGTCCACATCTTTAATATAGGATTTTAGGACATTCACAATATGGTCAATTGACAGCTGTCAAAACAGGATAGCCACTGACCAGTATCCCATGACCATATCGCGGGCTCATGTGTCAACTCATCGAGGTGACGTGATTTATTTGGAAGCTGTCCGCTGACCAGTTAATTGTTTTACTAGATCGCGAACAATGTTCAATCTCATACTTTTACTAGTTAAACTGATAATGCACACATATTGGACATCAATGTTTTGATCAATTGACAGCTGTCAAAACAGGGTACCCGCTGACCAGTATCACTTGACCGTATCGCGGGCTCAGGTGTCGACCCATCGAGGTCAAGTATTTTTTTGAAGTTATCCGCTGACAAGTTACTAGTTTTCAAGTGATCGCAGGCTCAAGTTCAAGTTTTTTCTAAATTCATATGAAATATGTTGTGTTTATGTGCTACACAATTAAAATTTTGATTGCAAACTGACCTCGGACGCGAAAATTCAGCCAGCTGTTACAGGCAGGGAAGACAGTTGCCTTTGACTTTTCTCACCATGGTCACGCGTTGGTCACGCTCTACGTCCAATTTTTATGCTCTGATTGGTCAAAATTTGACAGGTGAGTTCATGCGGAAAATTTATGCAGCATCTTGAATCTTGTTTACTTTGACAGCTGAAGCTGACAGAGTTTTGTGTCAACTTGTGATGTTTTTAACTGTCTTTTTCCACTGGATGTGCAAAATGAAATTCAGCTGCTATCAGGAGTCTTCTGTTATTCATGGCTAGTTTGTTTATTGGGTTTTTGGTTGAGGAATACGTCGCTTGTCAAAGTCGGAAATCCGATTTCGGATAGCATCGTTTTCGTTTTCACCTTGCTTGATGCGTAAGAGGATTGCAAAGTCTGAAGCGATACTGGCTGTTCTTGATACCTTTCAGGTGCTGCATCTCGAATGGTAAGCCAGAGAAATTATTGTATTTGATGTTTGTTTTTTGTATCTAATTTAATGAAGTCGAGCGGAGTTTATGCGGGCATTTAGTTTATGCACGTTTGTAAGATTTGAGACAATGATCTGATCGAGTATCAGGTTTGATATAAACTTACAGAACTTTAAAAAGCCTTTAGACAGTTTCTCACCGCAAATAGAAAGAAAACGTTCCAAAGAATATTTAGTTATAATTCTGGCCAGAAAAGAAAGCTTTGAGCGATTTTCTTGCCTCGAGTTCGTCTTTGAAAAAAGCAAACACCGGGAAGCCGGCTTAAAACATAAACTTAAGCTTGAAGCTTGAAGACTCAGGATTTTTAGGGACACTTTAATACTTGTCTTCCTGAATGAAAATTGTTGTCTCTGTATATGTTTCACCGAATTATATTTCTTTTATTGATTGTTAGTAGTCTCTGTTGTAATTTTAATCGCTGTGCCGATTGTTTTCAGTCGTTCAGTGAACATCGCTTGCAGGAGTACTCAAAATGCCGCGCGTTAAACCATTAAATAAAAAATAAACATAATAAATTCTTTATAATGTTGGAGCGTAACTCTGTTAATGTTCATTCAAACACTCGCCACAGCTCGCACTACAAAAGTGAGAACCGGATGGCCGTATAGGTGATTTTGGAAATTTTTTTAACAGTTTATGAATATTGAATGAGTCTAATTTGTATTGTGAAATACTGCTTTCTGTCCGAGGTTTGCCGGTATGATAAAAACAGTGCCTCATACTACTGTTTCACCTCAGTTGTGATGTATTAATGCTATCAAAGGTTGGTTTACACGCACCCAGATTTGTTGACAAGATTTTGCAAAGTAAACTTGTCGAACGCAAAAAAGTTGGCCTGATTTTTTTTCCCACTAATTAATCTACGGTGATCAAGAGCCATTATGGCTCTTAAATGTGATCGAAGATCATTACCAGTTTTTGGGTGTACAAATGAGGCTATCAACTCGATGTAAGATTTGGTTCACTCTTGGGCTGTTTGCAAATTATTTTTCTCTAAAATCAGGTAGCCTTTCCCTCAAAAGTCACATAAATGTGCTCTAAAGTTAACTGAATTGTGGGATTCGAATACAAGTTTATTGTTTAATTTAAATTATAAATTTATTAATGGGAGCCTCGCTTTTAGCCCTGGCTAAATCTATATATTAATTATATAATTCTGTTACACGCAAAAGCCTAAAGTACTCCCTGAAGAACACGGATTTTTAAATAAATGTAACAAAATTGGTCTTAATTAAAATCAAAATTAAGACCAATAGAGATGATTATTTTATCATCCAAAAGAGAGAGGTGGATGTACCCGAGTGAAATCCATTTGGGAGACTGGTTAGGGTTGATTTGGAAAACTGTGCTTACCTCTGGAAAATTTGTAGCTATACGTGCTGACAAGAGGATGAAGTCCTCTTGAATTAGATCTGATTTTTGACTGTTCGATGATTCAGAATCCTAGATGAGCAAGAATTCAAATAACTCTTGCAACCAGCTGGTTTAATCTATCAGCTTCCAAAAATACAGTGGAACACCGCCTTACGGCCACCTCGGTAATACGGTCACCTCGTTATTACGGCCACTTTTTTTGGCCGCCCGGCAAAAACGACCATGCATTTTTCTTGTAAAGAAACCATTGTTAATACGGTCACCTCGTTATTACGGTCAATTTTTTTGGCCCATTGGTGACCGTATTAACGAGGTCCCACTGTATAGCAAACTAAAAATATGATAAAAAATTAGTTAATATACTCTACCTCTCAAAAGCAGCGTTCCAGCACCCGTCCGGTAACCTGACTTCGCGGACGTAATGACATGAACATTGTATACATTACACAGTGGCTCGAGTGACTTCTTGTGGGAGTTCGTGAAACTAAGAACGTCCGCTGCTCAGTTAAGGTTCCATTAACGTGATTCTGCCATTCCTGTCATCAATATAATGTCGTATACTAAAGATATGAAAACATGCACGTATTCTAAAGGCTGAGTTTTATTGTTTTTTAACATGACAAGTTTTTGTGCAACTGAGCAGTACAGTTATAGATTCACAATTTGTATTTACAGTAAACGAAGGGCTTTAATAAGTTTTCACGTTATTTTTTTCGATAAGTTTGTAAATTCTAGTAGCACGATACATGGTCCTTGCGGAGAAACCACTCTTACACGGGCAAACTGGCGGGAATGATTCTTCCATGACAAAAAACGAAAGCACTCACTCTTTGCAGCCGTTCGAAAGCTTGAGCTAAAGGTTATTAAAATAAATGGATTTAGCGCGGTGCTAAGCACTGGAAATATGTAATAAAGTATACCCACAAGTTTAAGTAAAAGACATTTGTCCTTTTCAAGTATAGATGGATATAGCGATTTTAGAAACATATAAATATAAAGTGGTGTCCAGCATGCAAAGAATCCGAGAACAATTGACCCAAAGATTTTCAAGACGTTTTGATTTTGCCTTATCCTGAGTCTTCTTGATCCTTCGCCTCTTATTTCACCATCAGGTTTTTTTTTCCGTCTTTGTAGATACTTTACAATACGAGAGTATAAAACAATTATTAAAACAAGGGGCACACAATAAAACACTACAAACCCCAAAAAGCTGTAAATTTCCTGTTTGTTTGGCCCCATCATGTTTCTACAAAAAGCATGTTCGTCAATTTGAACAATTTCAGAGTGAATCAAATACGGGGCGAGGAAAGCTGTAGGAAGGCACCAGCATAATGTCAGTAAAATTGTCCGCATCTTTCCAGTTATACGCGAAGCTCTCAGCGGGAATGCGGTTGCTATATATCTGTCCACAGCGATGAGGACCAGGCTCAAAACAGACACCACGTAAGACATGGCTCGTACATAAATCCCAAGCTTGCAAAATAACGAGGCGAGAAAAGGTTCTGTAATAAGATTTCCGCCAGGTTTTAACATCCCTTCTGTGGTATAGAGTGGCCAGTTGAAGATCGAGGACACAAATAAGATCAGACACCGCCATATTAACTATGAGGTAGTTGTGGCTGATCTTCAAGTTAATATTCTTGATGAATGCTAAAATTATAAGGCAATTTCCAGTAAATGCCAAAAGACTGATTACTGAAAGAAGAACAAGAAATATTGTAGAAGCGTCAGAAGAACAGGAGATCTTGTTGCCAGGCTGAGCCGAGTCATTCATCCTCTCGTTTCTTCGACAATGTTTTTTTTCTTCAAAAATCTTCCGGAAACATGTAGTTTTTTAAAAAAATGGTTTTCATCATATGCTGATAGATTACTTTAATTTATATTTAAATTACGCCAGTATCACAGCACGTATTTAACGGAGAACTAGATCAGTTATCAATCAGATATCGGTTGATTAGGCGAGAGATATATTAGGAGTAAAAGGTCACGGTCTTCAACGGATATAAGGGCCCAGATTTTCTATCTTTGGTACTGCTTATTTATTCATTTATTAATTAAAGAACAAAAATTTTTAAACAATACAATTTGTTGAATGAGAGAGAAGCAACAAAATAAGGGTACGATTGAAATTTCAGATTCAGTATTGGACATTGCACATGAAGGTTGCAGAAAAATGTCATGTAAAACATTTTTACCGTCGAGACGGAAAAGGCGATGAATTAATGAACAAAGCTGATACCACTTTTGTTTGAGCCAAAATGACAAATGTGGCAAATCAATTAACAATAAATTGATTATTCATCTTGTGCCCACAGATTGGGGCTGGAATCAACAAAAATACAGATAACAGCTTCAAATAACAATTCTTTTACCATAATATCTTTGTATATTTATTCGTCCTGCTCAGATTTCTGGAAAATTTTCCTTGATTTCGACGCGGAGGTAATATATAAATAATTCTTATTTACTAATAAAAACTATTCTTATGTGGATCAGCGGTTGTCATGCGGTTATAGCGGCCCTTCAGCTGCTCCGTCAATGTTTGTAGTTTTAGCTCTAGTTTTCCTCTTCCTTTTCAATTTTTTTCTGTATATATGATGCCAGCCTAACCTAAAGGTATCTCGTACCGTTTTCTTTTGTTTTGTTCTTCCCCCTTTCTTTTTAATTATTATTTATTTTTTGTTCTTCTGAATTTAATTTATTTTCCCTCTTCTTTTTTCCCTCTTCATCTTTTGTGTCTCACAACCCTATAGAATACAATTTGATCATTGTAACTACTCAGCTCGTTTGGCTTTTGCTCTTCTTGATAATGATTTGCTTGATCTTCTTTAACTTTTCTGTTCTTGTAAATTTTATCAACTTGCAAATAAAATGTTCATTGGTGTTGTTTTTGTAATAGTAGTGGATGCTACTTCCTGGTGCAAAACTCGACAAAATGCGTTTTAAACTGACCAGAAACAGCAAGTAAATATCATGTTAAATGTATGCGAGCTTTTTTTGCGATATTCTAATTTTTTAGCTCCATTTACTCTGTTAACACTACTTCCTTTGAATAAAGCGGCTCATAAGAGCGTCGAATTTATGAGAGAACAGAAGGTAATTCACCAGAAACGTGACGAGGAAAAATAAATATACCTTGATATTATGGTCAAAGAAATTTTATTGGGGGCTATTTGGTGTATTTTAACTCCTATTCATTTATTAATATTTAGTGACTGGTCTACCTATGGTTATATCATTCTACAGCTCATTTTCGTCCCTGCCTATCTCCCCTCATCCTGATGCTTGCAAGATATCAATCTATTATTATGATCTTTACTCAAACACATCCTGACTGATATATTACACCTGTCGCATTTGCACTTGTCGAAACTCATAACTAATTAAATCATGAATGGATTACCTTTTTCATTTCCGTGTTCCTTTAAAGTCCAATATATTACATTTGCATTGAAATTTAGTTGAAAAGTTGGACAAAGATATGTTGTTTAATTACACCCGGATTCAAAAAACATGTTTATATATTCTGACGTTTACCATAACCATCTCGACAAAAAGCTGCTTCATAGACAGGCTAGCCCTTTTCGTTTTGCAATCAACTCTGAGCTATGGCTAAGAATCTCTTACGCGTTTACTGGCTCTTCCTTTAATGGCCATATTTGCTTTTTAATATAAAAGTTTTCGTTATTTAATGAACAGTTCAGGTTGACTGACTTTATGTACATAGTGCCAGGGGGTTCAGTTTCACAAGCAAGTTCTTAAAAAGGGCATTTTTACCGATACAGGTAATCAAATTTCATTTGACAGGTGTGTCCGCCAAAGGCATTAAACCTGATAATTATCTGTAGTAGAAGTTGAAGTACTTTAATTAACATAGCCCCAGTGAAATTATTGCGCAGTTACAACTGAATTCTTCCCTTTCATATAACAAAGAGTGTTCTATAATATTTTCTCCTTGGCCACAATGTTGAATTATCTGCTAAAGTAAAAATTATGAATTGTAGTAAATTTTCTGTTCACGTTCTTCCTGTTACTTAACCTTAATTTGACTGACTAAAAATCGATATAGTAAGGCACAAAATACGTGCTCTCTTGCTGGTGTCAGTTTAAATGTAATATAAACTGATCTATACAGAATGTTCAAAGGAAACTCTTTGCTAAAGTATAAAGAGGATGAACGACTCGTCCTCTTCTCACCTGAATTACCTACCACATTTCTTGCTGTTCTTTCACTAGTTAACTTTTTAACATTAACTGGGAGTTTTCTGGTTATTTAAGCATTCATCAAAACTGCTATACTAAGAATCAGCCACAACTATTTCATAGTTGATATGGGGCGTTTCCTCTAACCTGAGTTCTCTTTGACTGGCCGTCCTGTAGGACCTATACCACGAGGAGAAGGGATGTTAATACCTGCTGAAAAATTTCACTAGCTTTATATATAGTTGTCTCTTACTTTATGGTACAAGAAATGGTAAAGGATGGAACAAACTCATACTCATCAAACAAAACCAAAACATCTTTGAAATCTTTACGTCGATTGTTTTTGCATCGCATGTTGGATACCGCTTTATGATTACATGTTTCTAATAATCGCTATACCGTTTTTTGTATTATTTCAGAGGAACAATTATTTAAACTTATGGGGAAAGTTATCTATCTGCATGGCCAAAAATAAATAAAACCATCTTTTTTAATTACCTTCAGCTCAAGGGACGTTCGAAGGGCAAGGGTATATGCCCACATTTGTTCTGGAAAATTCTTTTCAGTTTGCCCGTGTAAGAGTAATACACCCCCAGGAACTAAGTAATTTGAACCTTATTAAAACTCCAGATTTTTACACATTTCGGATGTATACTGTACTGCGCAGGTGCAGAAAATGACGTGTTTGCCGGCAAGTTTAAAAAAATTGATTTACATTATAGTACGCTTGTCTACAACACTGGATACAATAAAATGTATCTTTCACTGGTGAAATCAGTTTCCTTACTCGAGTTTTATCAACTGTGTTTTGTGAAATATTTCAAAAATGCAGTGTACGGAATGTCCTACTATACATTGGCGAGCATTGCTTCACCCAAGAAGCCCATGTTCGGACATATTGCAAGGCGAGTTGTTAATTAAAAGTCTCTGATCACAACCCTTGTTCTGCCGAGTTTTATCACACACATACCCCCCGGGAAAGGTAAGAATGAAGGAGAAAAAAAATTTACCTTGCATCATAAGGAAAATAAAAGCCATAATAGTGAACTTACGCAATAGGGCGGGAGACGAAAGAAGATGGAAAACCTTGTGTGACAAGCGTGACAATAATTTTGTTTGAAATGACGTTTCGCCAAACTTCACTTTCCTTTAAAGAGATCTTTTTGTAAAAGACCAGAAAACATTAGTGTTAAGTGAAGATCACGACGAAACACGTAAGTAATAGCCCTGTCACGTTTGTCACACATAAGCATTTTGCCGTCCTCTTCATCATGCCGTTCTGTTGCGTAAACTCACTAATATTACAGCTGGACTCCTTGTTTAGAAAATCAGCACGTTGATGGAACACACACAAATCGCCTTAGCTAGATTTTAGCAGGGCGCAAAAAAGGAGTATGGGTAACAAATTTAAATTTGGCGTTATTTTGTACCCCATGAGTTTGAAGTGGCAGAGAAACTCTTTTGAAAAAGGGGAAGCAATTCTTTTATGGTACCATACAGCTGTCAACCTGTAACCGACATGATAAGGAAAAAGCGTTTTTCAAGAACAAATTTCGAAAGGCTACCACTGACTGAAATCCCATCTCACGTCCGCTTAGTCCATTATTCCATTACTGCAGCTGACGCACTCCAGGATAACTTGCGCCCGTTGATTTCATTGGGTTCATTTTTAATTATTCTCATACGAAATCCAAAACCAAATGAGGGGAGGTAAACATAGAAAGGGCTAGGAGAAGAGAAGAGGGACAAGGGAAAAGAGTAGTGGTCGTCGCCCCTTTCGTTTTCACTGATACCACATAAAGATCTAATTGGATTTGCCTAAAACCTGACTACTGAAAATTTGCAGCCATTTGACCAAATAAATAAATATTAATATATAATTTGGAGGTAGCACATCCACAAAAAGGTTCTTCGTCTACCTAATTCCTGGTCGAATTGGAATTTGGAGATGCTGGTTTTTGAGGAGAGGGGAAAACTGGACTACCCGGAGAAAAACCTGTCGGAGCAAAGGAACGAACCAACAACAAACGAAGGAGGCGAGGAAAAAAAGATTTTAAAAAACTATTAGTTTCCACATAGGCTACTTCGAAGAGAGAAGAGATTTCATGGAAGAGGTCTTTTAATTGGAAGAAACTATTTTAAAAATCCAGCTAGATATAAGAATGTATATTTTTCATACCCTCAGTTTGGGTATTCAATTTTTTTGTTGACTTTCGGCTGAAACGATGTTATAGTGTACATTCTTGTATTTCATAGTATCGTATAACATTTTGAACGGACGGACGTGACCAAGAATTGAAACGTTACGTTATGCACGTACACAATGAACT